CGAGTCTTCATCCTCTTCCTTCAGCTGTCCCCCAGCATTGTGAACAGGGTCTAGGCCCTCCCAGGGTCCGCATACCCACATTTCGTAGCTAGCATGGCTTTGGGCGAGGGCTGACCCCGAGCGGCTGGGGCGAAAGGCTGCGACCTCAGGGTGCAGCTAGGAGTATCTCGCCTGCGGATACCCGGATCTGGGGTCGGCGGGAGTCGCCCGGCCGTTGCAGGGCCCCGCCTCCGCTTCTGCGTGGGGTGGGACAGGTGAGCCGGGCAGGCCCCTAGAACCTTCGGTTCACTGTGGCGGCTGGAGGTCGGCAGCCCCGCCGCGGAGGTTTGCGGGTCCGACTTTTGACCCCCAACGCCCGATCCTGTGTCGGGACCCCCAGCGAAATAAACGGCCACACCAGCTTCTTCGCGCCGGGCCTCCACCGCCCGCCGAGAACCGATTCGGCTCCTTGGTTTCCCCCTCCTCCCCTCGTCAGGCCCCGCAGCTCTCAGTTATTTGTAGAAGACAAGGCAAGGGAGTCGAGCTTTTCCTATGTTGGTGAACCGGGCGTCAGGAACCTGGGTTCCAGTAGCCTGTGTCCTTGATTACGACTTTCTGAGCCTGCCTTCTTTTCAGTAACATGAGGTAATACTTTTCCTGCCTTGACTTTTTATTGAGAACTAAACGAGAGGCCGTGCGGAGACGCCTTGAAAGCGTTACTGAACGAGTGCGCAAAACGGTAGTATCCAGAATTTGAAATTGTGGTGCGCGGCGGCAGGTGTTTGGCGCCTTGGCGTGCTAAGAGCCTTTCTCAGGACCTTGAATGCTAGCCGATGCCTTCTTTCAAACAGGCGGGGCAGCTCATGTGCCTGCTTAATAGGTAAGGAGGCACAGATAGGTGAAAAGATTTTTTAAGACTACGTAACTTTTAGTGGCGTGGTTGGAATTAGAAACGTCCCCAGACTGCGGAAAAGGCTGTCAGAAGAGTGAGGACACATTTTCCTTGTGAAAGCCAGTAAAGCCTAGAAAGAGACTGAAACATAAAGAATTTTCTTTCTGTGTTTGCTTTTGGTGGGAACCGTTGGCTTGAGTCCATGGGCGTAGATACTTCCGCACTTCTCAAGAAGTTAATTTTATGTGATGTTTTTACAAAGTATTAAGTGCTTTCATTTAGCACATTTAACCATCAGAACAATTCTTTGAGATATATATTATTCACCCTATGTTAGGAGAAAAATGTGATTCAGAGATGTTATAAACAGCTGGCTGAGCTGCAATCGAACTCTTGATTCCAGAATGTTTGGTCTTTTTTATTAGTTACGCTACGGTGTAATTTCCTTTTTAAAAACACACGTGCTTCCAACTTCAGAAAGAGAAAGATGTGTACTGTGGGAGGCTCTTCTCAGTTTTCCTTGGTATCTACAGTTTTTTCCCCACTCAACTTATCAAATACAATCTGAACTACACCCCACATTTTGCAGCTTCTGTAACTAACCTCTGAACTACCTAGAATATTGTAACCACTGAACCAGTGGAAAACAGAACTCGGGTCCAGATCCACTGGTTTGGGGTATCCCACCTAATAGCAGTGATTAAAGAAAGTGGAACAGGCAACTTCTGTTTCTGGTCACTCTCAGAGTGTGTTCCAGGACTTGGACTATGTCCTTGTTAAATAGAATGATTCAGAGTTTACATATTTGCAGTTAAGAATATGATGAATATCCTGTCTCCACCTCTTTAAGTGGAAGGGGTTTCAAACACAATCAGGATCTGAAAGTCTGGATGTATGGATGATGGATGCAGTGCAGGAGTCTGAGGTCTAGAGTTTCTGGGGAATAGGGTCATGATTAACATTTTAGTACCTGTCACATGCCAAGCACTGTCGTAAGTGCTTTGCATAAATTACCCCATTTAATTCTGTGAAGTGTTTTTTTGGATTTATTTGAATCTCTTGGTGTTTACTTTTCTTTTCTTTTTAAAGATTTTGTTTTATCCTTTTTCTCCTCAAAGCCCCCCAGTACATAGTTGTATATTCTTCGTTGTGGGTCCTTCTAGTTGTGGCATGTGGGCCGCTGCCTCAGCGTGGTTTGATGAGCAGTGCCATGTCCGCGCCCAGGATTCGAACCAACGAAACACTGGGCCGCCTGCAGCGGAGCAGAGCGGGCGACCTTAACCACTCGGCGGCGGGCCTAGCCCCTGTGTTTACTTTTCTGTTGCTACTTCATCTTGGCATAAAATACTTGCTTAGTATATAGTGTTTGTTATTTTGATAAAGTTCTTAAGGGCAGGAACTCTCATGAACACTGTCATCATTTAGTATCTCCAGTACTACATAGAATCTTGCCATGTGAGAAAAAAGTACTTGGTATATTTGTGACTGAAATCAATAAATAATAGGTCGTACTCAGTCTGAGTTGTGTTCTTCACTTGGCAGCAAGCTAATAAACAAATTTCCAGTTCAGCTTATATGAGCTTCAGCCTCCTAAAGTATCGCCTTTACTTATTTTTTAATTGCTGATACAGATGCATCTGTAATAAATATTTGGTTTTTGCAATCAAACATAGGCCCAATTACAAGGCAACTTAGAAGTTAAAATTGAAATATAAAGTTTAACACCAGAAATGAAGCAAAATTAGGTCTTTTTGCAATAGCAATTCTGAAATTATTTTTACACAGTGTAACAACAAAGGCATCAACTTCATTATTTTACAATTTTAAGTTTGGTTTATATATTTTATTGAAATGGTTATTCTCTAAACATCCACATCATTCCATTTGTATTTTCTTCCTACAAACATTTTTTCTTTCACCATTTGTTTTATCCCTCTTGTTTGTTTGTTTCATATTAAAGAATCAGAGTTAGTTGATTTGCAAGTTAATGGAATATGGTTTGAACCAGTTTGAACCAGTCCTGACCCTGTCATATCTGAACCCAAAAGCCTGACTCAAAGAGAAGTGCACTATCATTGCTGAGGCTTCAGCACCTTATCTCTCAGAATCTCCAATTCCTAGAATTTCTCAGATTTTAGGTAGTAATCTGTTTTGTGACTTTTTGTAGATTTCCAGTGTGAATAGATTTCAGAATAATCTGGATATTCAACTGGTATTTTCGTTTTCTAATAACTAACATGTTAAAAAATCTAAACCTCCTTTTCATGCATAGCAAACTGTTTCCTGCTTTCAAGGGCATAGGCAGGAAACCTTAGGTTCAAGGTAGTAAATAATGATAGAGCACATTGCTAGTGATGGTACAGCTGCAGCTCCACAGTGTACTTGTCTGATAATGTTGCCTGATACCATACTACCAGAAAAATAAAAAAGTAGAGTAAGGCGTTTTATATCTTACAATGAGGCAGTTAGTATAAGAAGCATTCCAAATATGCCAGCCCTCTTAGATTGAACTAATAGCAGACATTCTTTACATTACTTCCTCAATGTGTCTTATTTGCCACCTTTGTTTTTAGAGGAAGACAAAACTCAGATGAAAACTTTCACCCAAGGATAAACCCCTATTTCTTAAAGGACTTTAGAAGGAAATGCATTTGCACTATTTGAGGGCACTATTGTGAGAATTAAATGTAGAAATAGATAACGAGAAATGGGGCAAAATCCCAGATCAGCCTTTTCCCTTTAAGCATCTGATTTCTATTTTAGAAACAATGCTTTCATCACCATATTCGGCATTATATTTTCTTTCCTATAGCCTGCTGCCCTTTTAATAATAATAAATATTTTGCTCTCCCAATGGCGATCTGTTGACATTTGCACTAGGGTCCATGAAGAGTTATTTCAGATTTAGTGTTCTTGCCATAGGATGCATTTGACTAGCAGAGTAGTCAAAACTATTAAGAAAACAAGTTATTGTATTGGAGGCTGCTGCTACCTTTTTATTTTTCAAACACCTTCCTTCCATGAATCAGCTCTTCTGAGAGCTGTCGTGGTGAATCATTTCTGCTAATTCTTCCCAAGAGGCTGACAATTAAAATGTTAACAAGTACTAACCTAGCCCTCTCCTGCCACCCACCAGTTATCCTCATCATCTCTTCCCTAAATGTTAATTCTCTTTCCTTCCAGCCCAGAGCTAGACTTCCTTAGAGGCTAAGCTGGGAAAATACTGAATTTCTTCCTGTCTAGCGTCTCAGGAGGGAATGATTATGACATGCGATGCCATTAGAAAACGTTGGTAGTCCCTGATCTTTTTGATAACTTAAGGCTGAGAATCATCAAAAGTCCCAGGTTCTCATCCTTCTCCTAAAATGAAAGAAGTGGAGGAATCTCCAAATTTGGTGCAATACTAAACTTCCTTATACCACTCCTTTACAAAGTAAGAAAAAACTGATCTAATTTCCCCTTTTAGTCTAGTCAATCTTGAAATTCTGATTTCATATGTTCTCAGAAAGAAGAGAATATAATGGTATGTCAGATGATCTGTCAGCATCTTTAAAAGATCTCTTTTTCTCTAGAATACTTCTAAGGACATTGTTAAATGACATATAGTGAATGTTTTCTTGCTCCAGAGATATCTAGCAGGGAAGTCCTTAGAGACTTCTGATTTGAGGGAAAATCCACAATTGTTCCAGTATATATTTCTGATATTTGTCAGTGACCCTCTGAACATCATTAAGATGGAAAGTTCTTCATAGTCCCTTGTCAAACATTTTGGACACCTTTTTTGGTTCCTTACAGTTCAATGTAAGTAGGAAGATTAGTAGTGGATAGAGTGGGAGAAGCTCATTCATTCTTTTCCATCTCCCACTATGTGAACTTCTCTTGAAGTTAGTATTCAAACCTTATGGTAAATGAAGTCAAGTCAGAATAGAAGAGATACGTCTCCTTTTTGGAGTTTCTCAGAAGCGGTAAGCCCAGTACATGGTGCAAATAGGTATAATATAAGGCTGTGAGTTCTGCTTGACTCTGAATACTCACAATAATCCAGTAGGTTTGCAGAAATGCATAGAAAATTTATGAACAATACATCATTTCTTCTTGACATGGTGAATCGAAGTATTGATACAAACATCTCAGGTGAGAAGTTTCAAGTGTGTTCACTTCCCTTTTCCCCAGCCTTTCTCACCACAGGTCCTGGTCAACAAATGCACAGATTTGGACTCCTGCTTTCCCCAACTGTAATCTACAGACACAAGTAGATTCCTTTTTGGAGATGATCGGCTTCCATCTTTTTTCTTGTTTCTTGTCATATAAGGAAAGTGCTCATTTGAATCTGTTCCATGCAATGCTCACTACTACTTAAATGACCTCTCATCTGGTTCAAAGGGGTTGTGTGCCTGGTGACTGAGCTTCAATGACTAGAATAGTCCTAAGATCCTGACTCCTAGGAAAGCACGGGAGTCAAGTCCACTCTAATTCAGACAGTTTGGAAGGCTCTGCTCTGGCTGGGGATCATGCTGGGTGTAGTTTCTGCTTTGGTCAGGGTAGCATGGTGGACCTTCTTTGGCTCCGAACCTCTCATCTCTGGCCTCACTAGGCTGTATGCGTGGGTGGCCAGCCCTGGCTGGGGTGGTGCTTCAGTTGACAGTGTCTGCTGACTGCGTGAGGCACTATTTGCTGTGGAGCGAGTGGAGGAAGAACCAGAGCGTGAGCTCCGAGAGCCTGAGGAAGAGGAACTAGGTTTCACAAGGCGAGCTTTTGGGGCTTCGGCATCTTCTCTGAAGAGGAAAAACAGCAAAGATAAATTTTAATACTGGCAGGACTCTGATAGCTTCCACTATGGTTGCTTCCCTCTGAGGTTCCCCAATAAATTCCCCAAGCTGTAAAACCTCAAATAATACCTGTGGAAGGCAGCCATTTAGGGAAATAGGGACTTTGCCATTTCCCGAGACTTAATGGTTGGCTTAGGCAAACGTATGTTTTCTTAGCCCAAGGGTCAATCCTGTTATTCTGGAAGAATGTGCACTCACCAGTGAGATGGTCTAGGCAGCACTCCCCTTGGTTTGGGGTTTCTCTACGGAAACCCTTTCATGGCCTGTAGGCTATGCCCATTCTTTATTGTATGCCCTTTATAAGCAGAAGTGAATCAGAAGTAACGTAAAGTTGATCCTTTTAAGCCTCTGTGGAGGATAGATAGTTTCACAATGAAGTTGAGGTAAACTAGACCTTCTGTCCCTAGGCTGGAACTCCTTACCTACCAGAATAATTCTTTTAACGGACTCATGGTTAAGAGGAAAGGAGACATTTATGTTGGCTGATCACTGTGGAGCTGGCCGTAGAAAGGAAGCCTAGTGGAAGAGGGGATTTTGGAGGGAGGTTTACCGAATTTCATTAGGTCTCTCTTCTTCCTCATATCTTTCTTTGTCTTTCCTTCGGATTAGCAGCCACACCAAGAGGAAAATCAGCAGGGCTCCAGCCACCATGCCTGTCACTGCTCCTGCAACCATGCCGATGCTTGGTACATCTATTTTCTCAGAAACAAAAGCAAAAGTAAAACCAAACATAAGCTAGGAAATATATGAACTTAAAAATCATAAGTCCTGGACAGGATGAGTATTTCCAGGTCTTTATATCTAGCTTCCTGAGTTCCCTGTTTACCCTTTCGTGGTATACAACTATCCCTCTTGATATTGAAGAGTAGCAGAATATGCCACCTCAAAATATGCGTCTTTGATAGTAGGATTATTTTAAGCTGATGATTATTATTTTTTTGAGGAAGATTAGCCCTGAGCTAACTGATGCCAGTCCTCTCTTTTTGCTGAGGAAGACTGGTCCTGAGCTAACATACGTGCCCGTCTTCCTCTACTTTATGTGTGGGATGCCTGCCAGAGCATGACTTTGCCAAGTGGTGCTATGTCTGCAACCGGGATCCAAACCTGCGAACCCCAGGCCACCAAAGCAGAACATGCGCACTTAATCACTGCACCACTGGGCTGGCCCCTTAAGCTGATTATTTTTGAAAAGCAGCAGACAGGAGAAGTTTTGAAAAGAGAAGTTACCCTTTTGTAAACAAAATTTACATTTATAAAGGAAATCTCCATTTGGTCCCCTCCTAGATGTAATAAATTTCTTTAGGGGACTGGTAAATTCACACATCTATGTAAATATAGAGTTAGCTACAACTGTTGAGTGGTCCTTGCAACTACTGCATTTATTTTAGTGCTACCCATGTTCTTCTGGAAATAAAGATTTTGACCTTGACTTTACTCTTACTTGTTATTAAAAATGTTTTACACTGAACCACAATGCAAAAACAAAAACAAACCTTTTGGATACTTACACTGTACAGTCACTCGCACCACACAGCTTTCCTTCCCAGCCTCATTGCCTGCTGTGCACTGGTAGAGTCCAGAGGAGGACATAGTGAGGTTCTGCAGCAGAACATGTCCGGGGTTGTTGTAGTCTACACAAGCAGAAAGAATGACTAATCCCCTTAGTGACAGGATCTATATTGTTTACTTTATTGCATCATTGACTTAAGATTCTCTAATAAAATTTGGTAAGGGTGAGATGATAGAATGTGGGAAGAAGGGTGAACATTCCTTTAAATTGTAGTGCATCCTCAAAAATTACAAAATATTGTGAACATTTAAGGGATAAACATAATGAGATATAATGGATTTATATAATACATTTCTTCTAAATCTCTTTTACCACTTTTAAGTACCATTTGAGGAGAGAAAACAGATTTTTGTGTCCCAGTTTACAGATGAAAAATGGAAGTTCAATGAAGTTCAGCAGTGTATTCAAGGTCACATGGTGAGTTGCTGACAAGACCGGATTTAGACTTCATAGGTAGAGTACTGTTCTGCTGTCTCAGTAGACTGACAGAAGATGACTTACCAATCCTAGATTTGGGAGGCAGGTGTTCATCTCTCCCTCCTTCTCTCGGATTCGCTGCCAGTAATACACAATGGGCTTTGTGCCAGAGGATGACTCACATTGCAAAGTCAGGTCACTTCCTTCTGTCAGCTCTCCTTCCAGTTCACACTTGGGCTTTGATGGTCTCACTGGCCAAAAACGAAGAAACATTCAAAGATCCCTAAACAATAGGTCACTGGAAGAACTATGTCCTGTTAAATTATTTCTCCAGCCATCCCTATGGTCAGCTTGTTGGGATTCAGTAGCCTTTTGCTACCTAGCCATGCTTTACATCACCTGCAGAAACGCAGCCAGCTCCATCCCCTGCACACATAAACACCCAATTCCAGCTGCTTCCAGTGGTGCTGTTGTAGTTTTCAGAGGCTTCTCAAAGAATAGATACTGTACTTCTCAAAGAACAGATACTTTTTTAATTGGAAATTTTAAGAAAGTTGAGTGTGATTTTACTAATAGTGAAACAGGGATAGAAATTCGTTAACTTGGAAGCAACTAAGTAGAGCTTAGTAGTTCCTGCTTTCAGAAAACAGAAGTGGATTTGAATCATACCTGAGACGTGTAAGTTAAGTGCAAGGAGACCATTTAAACATTAGAGGATATTTAAATTTTGTAATAGGCTACTATGGAAAATTGTAATTATTTTTTCTTCTTTTACTATGGCTAAAATACAGAGTATATATACTTCTTTCCAGGGAGCTGGACTAGGTGACCTCTGAATATATAATACAAAGTACTGAACAAGAAATTTTTTTTTTTTTTTTTTTTATTAATGTTATGATAGATTACAACCTTGTGAGATTTCAGTTGTACATTTTTGTTAGTCATGTTGTGGGTACACCACTTCCCCCTCCGTACCCTCCCCCCACCCCCCCTTTTCCCTGGTAACCACCAATCAGATCTCCTTCTCAATATACTAATTTCCACCTATGAGTGGAGTCATATAGAGTTCGTCTTTCTCTGACTGACTTATTTCGCTTAACATAATACCCTCGAGGTCCATCCACATTGTTGTGAATGGGCCAATTTCGTCTTTTTTTATGGCTGAGTAGTATTCCATTGTGTATATATACCACATCTTCTTTATCCAATCATTAGTTTCTGGGCATGTAGGCTGGTTCCACGTCTTGGCTATTGTAAATAATGCTGCAATGAACATAGGGGTGCAACGGACTCTTGAGATATCTGATATCAGGTTCTTAGGATAGATACCCAGTAATGGGATGGCTGGGTCATAGGGTATTTCTATTTTTAACTTTTTGAGAAATCTCCATACTGTTTTCCATAGTGGCTGTACCAGTTTGCATTCCCACCAACAGTGTATGAGGGTTCCTCTTTCTCCACAACCTCTCCAACATTTGTCGTTCTTGGTTTTGGATGTTTTTGCCAATCTAACGGGGGTAAGGTGATATCTCAGTGTAGTTTTGATTTGCATTTCCCTGATGATTAGCGATGATGAACATCTTTTCATGTGTCTATTGGCCATATTCATATCTTCTTTTGAGAAATGTCTGTTCATGTCCTCTGCCCATTTTTTGATCGGGTTGTTTGTTCTTTTGTTGTTAAGTAGTGTGAGTTCTTTGTATCTGAACAAGAAATTTTGTACCACCATGATGCATTTGGCTATCCCTTGCAGAGACCTTATTAATAAGATGTAGGCATTTACCATAGCGCTTTGTCTTACCTAAGACTTTTAAGATGACGTTGCTCCACGCATAGCGCCCTGAATTCTTCACTTTGCAGGTATAACGGCCCTCATCACTGGGCTTCAGAGGCTCAATCTGCAGGGAAGCATCTCCTGCCAGGAAATTGGAAGCAAAGGCCACTCGGCCCTTCTGTTCCTCAGTAAAGTTACTGTAGACCTGACGGCTGGAGTAAGTGATCACCTGTGGGACAGACCAAGACAGGGTCAAGCAGTATGGCTTTCAGTCTCCTGCTGATGTCAAGATCAGTTAAGGGAATACTCCTCGTGGAACAAAGCAGTCAAGCCTGGGGCTGATTCTAAGGGCCTAAGAGACCTCTGTTCTAAAGTTAAAAATACAGTATGTTCGTCTAGGCCTTGCTGCTTCTAGAAATTGTAGAATTTTAATTATAAAGTAGTAATTATTTCATTAAGTGCTCAGAACCATTCCATTTTATAGGTAAGGGATTTTAAATTTGACATACATCCTCAAGGTCACTCAGCTAAGTCAAGGAAAGAAGGAAACGCACATACTGGTATCATGAGTTGACTGAGAATGGAGAGAATAAAGGAGAAGGATTAGGAAGAGACTCACCTTTCCCCTGCATACCCTTTCTAACTTTTGCATTTTTCACCACTTGCATGTGATCTGTTCAAAGTGCTAGGAGCTACACTCCTTGTGCTAGGAGCTTGCTTTTACATCTCGTTTATTTCTCACACAATTTTTCCAAGTAGTCATTATCCCATTTCACAGACAGGTCACAGAACCGGCACTTGAACATATCCATCTAAACCCATCTAGTTCATTGTTCTGGTATACCACGGTTATGTCTCTCTTGCTTTCTTTTCTCACCTGCGTTCATTTCACTGCTAATTGACTGCTCTTCCAGAAAGTTTGGAAATGAAGGAGAAAACGTAAAACTAAAAACTCAATTTGTTTTGTTCTTAAAAAGTTTAGAGTCCAGCTGAAGGGATTGGAGGAGTTGAATAGTAGAAGTTAATGCTTAAAATTCAGGTCTGACATGGAGGCCTTCATTGTTTGGCTTTCCTTCTTTTTTGGCTTCACTACAGATTAGTAAGAGTAAACTATGTCCTTTCCTTTCATAAAATACACATGAGCTTCAGGTCTTTGTTTTCCAAGGTAGGGAGACCAAAGTTTAAATTTCCCCAACAGAAAAAAATAATCTTGATTTTTACTGAATTTTCATCTGCCTGCGTCACAACCTCTGTTTTTGAACCTTTCTCCAATTCTCTTAGTCCATTGTCTCACTCCTATTAGTCACGAAAACCATGCTGATCTGGTCCACCAAGACTTCAGTTTTGTCTTCCCTGCCCCTCAGTAATCATATTCTTAAACTCATTTGATTTAAATGTCAGCAAACCTTTACCGGAATGACTCCTTCCCATCACGTCAGGAGGAGGCTATTCAGATTAGTAAAACCCTTTACTTGTCTTCAAGTAATTTATAATCTAATAGGATTAACAGGGAGAGAAGTATAAACATAGAAACAGGAATGATTAACTTGAAATAGTATCAGAGAGAATGTCCCAGAAAAGTTAGTGGCATTTGAGTTGGGCTTTGAAAGATGAGTAGACTAAAGAAGAGATGATAGAGGCAGGGAGAAGAGGGCTGGAGGGAGCATTCCAGACACACAGAATGGCTCTAAAAAAAGGCATGCAAGCATATGGGAGTCTCCCGAACACATTTCTGGCAGCAGCTGTTTCAAATTGTTTCACTCTACTTAAGCCCTTAACCCCATCCTCGATCACATGATGCTCTGCAACTCATCAAATGCTTTCCTGAAAAGATTTGAAACCGTCCAATAAAATGTCCATCAATTCTCTCTCCATTATATCACACCTCTTCAGTATCATCCATTTTGCCCTTACCACCTCTCTGAGAAAAGTGTTTTCTCCTTTCTCTGAATATTCTTTTTCTTCAGCAAATATTTATTGAGCTCACATGCCAGGTACTGTGCAAGGCGCTGGAAAACAAGCAGCAATAACACACAGTTCCTACTTTGAGGACCTCACAGCCTTGTGGGGGAAAAAATGGGGGAGAAGGAAATAAGAAAATTAAGGTAAATACTGTGATAATATACTTAAAACATTTTCAGTATTTAGTTTTGCCCCCTCATTTCAACCAACACCACTATTGTGATAATTATTGTGATAATATCCTTATCTCTAACTCCAGCATATTTTTGAGCTCCAGTTTCATATTTCCAGCTGCCTGGCTGCTGTATATTTCTGTCCCCTCCAGTCTACCCTACATAGTAATGTAAGTTAATGCCAAGTTAATATTGATGTAAAACTCACATTAGCTCTTGTCCAGCTTGAAAACCTTTAATGTCTCCCCGTCACCTCTCAGTGATGACTAGGTTCAGTCTGGGGTTCTCAAAATGACCTCTGCATTACCTTCCCAGTCTCATTTCCTATTTTGTGCACCTCACATACCTGGGTTCAATCAGATTACATTATTTTCCTTTCTTTAATAGGTATGCTTTCTCTGTATTCGTATACCTTTGGGAAAACTGTGTTTTCCCACTTACAAATTCCCTTTTCTCCATTTCTCCACATAAAGAATCCCTATTCATTCTTTTAAATCCAAAATCACTGTTAACTCCTTATGAAATCTTCCTTTATATGACACTGAGACTAAGAATGGTCTCTTTTCTTTGCTCTCATCCACAGCATTTCTTTGCATCATTTTTATGTGAGGAGAAATTATGAAAGGCTTTGGGCAAATATGTTGCTAGGTCCCCTTTCTGTAATGCTAGGTGTTGTCCATGAGATCTTCAGGCATTCTGATTTTATATATGTCTATTGCCCTTGATTGTCTTTGGCTAGGCTATTTTACAATTCCTCAGTCCTTTATTTAATAAACATTTACTGAAAACATATTCTGAGCTTGGCACTGTGCTAGAGATGGTAACAGTACAAAGAAATGAGTTTTATAAGTGTTCTTGGAGACCAGGACATGCCACCCCAGAATGTGCCGCTTTGCATGTGCATAAGAATTAATTTCAGCTGAAGGCATTTGAGCTCCTGAAATTCCTTATCTGCCTAAAGGCAGAGCCTCCCAGAAGAATGAGTGTCATAAATTCCATTCCTTGAAACAACTCTAATATTCTCTTCCGGGAGACCAGAAATTGGCACCACACCCAGATAGACATTGTCACAAACTAGCATATCTCCCATCTGTTCTCCTAAAGGCTCATTTATCTTTCCAAAAAGTCATTTGCTTTTCCCTAAGTACCCCTTCTCCCCATCCGTTTCCCCTACTAAGTTAGGTATATAGAATCCAAATCCTAACTACCCTTTTGAGTTACTCATCTCTGGGTACTCCCAGGTGTTAGATACATAATGCATGCCTTAATAAACTTCTGTTTGTTTTTCTCTTGTTAATCTATATTTTGCCAATCTAATTTACAGTGCCCCGGCCTGAGAACCTAGGAGGGTAGAGGGAAAAATAGATTTTTTTTTCCTCCCCTACAGTTTTAAAGGTCAACTTTTTTTTTGAGGAAGATTAGCCCTGAGCTAACATCTGCTGCCAATCCTCCTTTTTTTGCTGAGGAAGACTGGCCCTGAGCTGACGTCCATGCCCATCTTCCTCTACTTTATATGTGGGATGCCTGCCACAGCGTGGCTTGATAAGCAGTGCGTAGGTCACACCCGGGATCCAAACCAGTGAACCCCAGGCCACAAGCGGAATCTGTGCACTTAACTGCTGTGCCACCGGGCTGGCCCCTAAAGGACAACTGTTTTCTAAAAAAAGTAAAATGATGACTTTCATAGATATAGAAAATAAACATGTGTCAAAGATTTTATTTAACTCATTCATTAACGATGGAACCAGAAAGATGTTACAACAGCTTCAAATAAGGGTTGGACTGCAAGGATTTATATTCTCCTTCAGACAAAATTCATTTGCATCTCTATGGATAGGAAACATAGGCATCGCCATTAGCATTCCACAAGTTAATTTCTATTTCTGCAGAAATTAATACAAGAGGAAAATTAGGCCTATCTCCAGAAAACTTGGACTCTAAGCATGATGTTCAGGAGGCACCTCCCTGGGGTATTTGTGCAGGGGAGGGGCACGTTTTCAGGCTGGGGTAAGAAGAGATCCTCCATTGGTATGATAATGAGGGGAATTAGATCTCTTCAAGGCTGTTCCCCCTGCCCCCTCTCCTCTACTGCCTCCTCCCTTCACATGTGGTCTCCTGGTTCAACTCCCTGAGTCTCTAGTTAGAGTCCTTGAAGGGCTCCTGGGAAGAGCACTGGGGAAGGGTGTTTCCTTCTGGCTGGGATAGGGGTGGAGGGGGCTGGGGGTAGCTTCACCAGGACAGCATCATCAGGCTGCTCCCGAAGGCTAAGGTGAACTCTTGAAAGACCTCTGTCAGCAAATTGGTAAGCATGACCAGTTAAAGAATATTTAGGAGCCAGAAGAGAGGGTAGGAGGAAGATAAGTTGTCATCCAGAGCTAAGGCTGGAAACGTGAGCCAAGGCTGGACTTGAATGTTAAGCTAAAGAGATCCAAGATGAGAGTCATTTAGTCAACGACTTCTGAGCCTCCACCATGTGCCAGCGCCTGTTGTAGGTGCTTGGGAGATACCAATGAACACACATGTAAAAATCCCAGCCCCTGAGGAGCATATATTCTAGTGATGGGGAAACAGACACAAAAGAACATTATAGGGTATATTTGACAGTGTGAAATACTCTGAAAATCATAGAACAGGGAAGGTGGGCCAGGGGGACAGATTGCAATTTAAATAAGATGGTCAAGGTAGACCTCTCCAGAAAGTGCTATTAGAGTAAACGCTTGAAGGAGATGTGGAGGCAGCCTTGAGCTATCTAGGGGAAGGAGAGTTCTAGGCCAAGGAAAGAGCCAATACAAAGGCCCTAAGGTAGAAGGTACCTGGCATGTTTGTGGAACAGCAAAGAGACCACATAGCTGGAGTGAGTTTTTAGGAGAATAGTAGATGAGGTCAGGCAATGGGGGCATATCATAGACCTCGTGGTCCATTGTAAAGATGATGGCATTTACTCTGAGGGAAATTGGGGTCTATTAGAGAGTTTTGAGAACAGTATCATGATTGATCTGTTTTGACAATAGGCGGCAGGAGGTCAAGAGTGGAAACAGGAAAACCAGTCAAAAGACTATTGTAGTAAAGATCTAGGCAAGAGAAGCACTGCCTC